CACACACACACACACACACACTGAGGAGTGAAATCAAACAGTGCAGGAGAGAGGTCTGTACACTGAGAGTGAGTCTCTGGCGCCAGCAGCTGGAGAAGCAGCAGACCTCAGCTCTGACATCATGATATTAGTGCAGGATCAGACAGAGTCAATATTACTCTCTGAGGCTGTTTAGAATCACAAAATGATGCTTTATTTGATAATTAGTACAAGAGGGAGGATTTGTCATTCAGTAGTAACACACACCAAATACAGTCAAAGATGAGCGGAGGACTGATGAGCAAATGGTAAAAACAAGGTAAACCTGACAGTTACTCCCTCTCTGCGATCGCCACCAGATGACGCTCGATTTCTGCTTCTGACAGAGTCCTGAAACACACACACACACACAGATGATGTTAAACCGCCTCACACCGTCTCTCTCTGTGCTCATGTTGACTCTTCATTCTCTCTCTGTACCTGAATTTGGGCTGTTCTTTGGTCACGACAGACACTTCCAGCTCAGTGCTTTTGAAGTCCATTGAAAGCACAGAAGACAAACACGAGATAGCCATCTAGAGGACAGGAGACAAGCGTGATATGATATCAAACCAACACACTGATGCCAAACCTCAACATCTGAACTATTCATATTATTATTACACAACGCTCTGTTTAAAACCTGATTATATTCATTCAGACTATAATGAGCCGCTGGTGATATGTTATTCCATTACCATTTAATATCTCAAAATTGGAGGACAAATAAATACAAATAAATAGATTCAAATTGACCAATAGAACATGAAATGATCACACTGCACCTGATTACATTCAGGCTTATTACAGCTAAGTAAAAAAAAATTTAAATAAAAAATGCTACTTGAAATAAAATCAGCGTTAACGGATATAAAATGAGTGTGAATTATGAGCTACAAATAGTAATTGAACATCTAATATAAAGTACATATAAAGTATGTCTTGGCGAGATTCACACAAACATAATCTGTTATGCCTTACATGAACGTTTAGTTAAATCTGATTAGGAAAATCTGATGTGCAACATTATATTAGATGCATGCATTACAGTAGGTCTCAATATAGATCTGTCTCCATATTAATCAAACATTCAAAGAAAAGACGGAATCACTCGCTGCTCTTGAGTAAACTACTGTTCATTTGCATCTTTGTTCTTACTTTTAATAACAAAGATAAAATAAAAAAGCTATATTGTGATTAATAATATAGTAATTATTATTAAGA